CCGGTCTAAAAGAAGAGACATCACCTAATATAAAAACCAGCACTGCTTTTATTGCTCTCACAGCTTCATCCCAATGCACACCCCGCACACAATGCTCCATAGTAGTTGTAACTATTAACAACACTCGTCTAAAAGCCATGGTAGACAGCGGAAGCACTCATAATTTCATAAAGTTGAACGTCGTGAAATCACTTGACCTTCCTATACTATCTTCCAGTGACACAGTAAGAATGGCTTCCTCTAATCTCACGAGCAAAACCCAAGGTCACTGTATTGCATCTATCGCAATTAATGGACAAACATACCCTGATATGCATCTGTCTGTTCTGCCCAACTTATGTACTCCTGTCATACTTGGACAAGAATTCATGCAACTAAACAACCGTGTGGAATTCCTTTTTAACGGAGATATACCTCCTTTACAAAGGACCGTAACACCGCTCAGATGAAAATAGAGCCACCTGCTCTTTTTGCCAATTTATCAGATGACTGTAAGCCAATTGCAACAAAGAGCAGGAATTACTCTGCATCTGATCGCGAATTTATTCGGAACGAAGTACAGAAGCTCTTAAAAGAAGATATAATAATTAACTCTAATTCCCCATAGCGAGCCTAAGTCTTGGTGACTCATAATGAAAGGCATAAGCGTTGCATGGTCATTGATTATTCTGCCACTATCAATCGCTATACTTTTCTCGATGCATTCCCTCTTCCAAAAATTTCAAACATTATACGCCGTCTATCTCAATATAAGATTTTCAATAAGTTAGATTTGAAGTCTGCATATCACCAATGCCCTATCCGTGAAGAGGAAAGAATTTATACAGCCTTCGAAGCTGACGGAGGCCTGTACGAATTTTCTCTGTTACCCTTTGGATTAACAAACTCTGTAGCTGTATTCTAACGTATCATGCATAATATAATCCGAGAACACGATCTTAAAGGCACCTTCGCCTATATTGATGACTGTCATCGGGGGAAAGACAAATAAAGAATTGAATGAAAATATGAAGGCATTCAAAGAAGTTGCTGATCGTCTCAATTTGCAACTGAACCCTGATAAATGTGAGTATGGCATCACCATACTTAAGTTTTCTAGGGCTCCTGTTGGAGAATGGAACAATCAGTCCTGACCAGACAGACTTACACCACTCAAAGAACTACTGACTCCGAATTGTGGTAAGTCACTCAAACGAGCTCTGGGGCTCTTCTCATACTACTCACCATGGGTGGAGAACTTCTCTGACCGCATTTCGCCTTTGCTAAATATCTCCTCATTTTTTATTTCCCAAGAACTCAAGAGTCAATTTCAGGCAATAAAAGATGAAATTTGCAAGGCTTCGGTTGCGGCCATTGAGGACGAAATTCCATTTACAATAGAAACGGATGCATCTGCGACGGCATTGGCAGACTACCTCTCTCAGAATGGACGCCCAGTAGCATATTTTTCTAGAACTCTTACGCAATCTGAGCAGTGTAGCGTGAATCAGCAGCCATTGTAGAATCTGTTCGTAAATGGCGTGATCTTTTACTCGGCCGATATTTTACAGGCCGCCTCATAATGTTCAACACACGGGCACCAAACCGTATTAAAAACGATAAGCTACTTTGATGGAGACTTGAACTTTCTAACTACTCTTATGATATTGTATACCGACCAGGTTCACTTAATAGCTCTGCAGATACTCTTTCCCCGCTTTCTCTGCTTCGTGTTCATTATCACTAAAAGATTTTCACGCAGCACTGTCATCCAGGAGTAGCGAGACTGTATCATTTTGTTAAACAAAAGAATCTCCCTTTCTCTATGGAAGATGTTAAACATAGCTGAATGCCAAATATGTGCTGAACTAAAACCAAGGTTTTTCAGACCTCCCCCTGGTCGCTTAATCCATTCTCGATCCCCTTTTGAACACCTTGCTATTGATTTCATGGGCCCCAAACCATCAACAAATAGTTTTAAATATCTACTCGTGATCATAGATGAATACTCGCGCTATCCTTTCGTCTCTCCATGCCAAGACATCTCAACAGGAACTGTAATAAAATGTCTCCAAAATCTCTTTACCTTCTTTGGCTGCCCAGATTCAATCCATAGTGACCGAGGGAGCCAGTTCGTATCATCTGAACTGAAAGAGTTTCTCTGGCAACATGGCGTTGTAATTACCCACTCAACACCATACCATCCAATCAACAACGGACAATGAGAGAGGGCAAACGGAACAATATGGAAAACGATCAAACTTGCATTCAAGACAAGGCAACTGGATGAACATCATTGGCAAGCTGTACTCGACATTGCTCTGCACTCAATTCAATCTCTCCTTTGCACAGCAACTAACACAACACCACATGAAAGATTGTTCAATTTTCCGAGAAGGTCGGGTACCGGATACACCCTACCTGAATGGTTGCAAGGAGGTCCGGCGCTGCTAAGAAAGTTTGTCCGTCAACACAAGTCTGACCCACTAGTGGAACCGGTGGAAATATCAGCAACTCCTAATTTTGCGAGAATTCGTTTCCCTGACGGCCATCAGTCAACGGTCTCAACAGAAGACCTTGCTCCCACACCTGTTACTGTCCCATCGTTTGTAGATTCGGATTCTCCTGTCTTCACCGATCACTGTGTGTCATCGAGTTCTACTCCATCAAATAACAATGAACCGGAAATGTCTACTGACCAACAAGAAACCACAACAAATGGTGAATCCTCCACTTCCGTTGGCGAAACGAAGTCTCGGGATTTAGAACAGCAGCAGCGGTAGCACTTAGAGAAGGATGCTCTGGGATTTCTTCTCGAATCATCAAGACGAGGACGAAAGATCATCCGTAACCCGAAGTATCAATAAAATGTAGCGGAGAGTGTTGTTATATACTTATTCTTTTCATTCATTTAATACCTTCTACTTATCTGCATACGAACTGTTGTGTGGTCTCGCGTTGGTTCACGTCACGTGATCTTATGTTTATAAATAACGGTAGGACGCCTCTTTCTTCCTCTCCGGCGTCCGTTCGTCCATATCTTCTAACTATGTAACTGGTAACTATGTATGCTTTTTTTATGTTGAATAAAACCTTAATATTCAACTTTCTAAAAAGGTCTCTTCATTACAGACATCACTTTTGGAAGTCTGTTTTTCTTTAAATTATTAGCTCTGTTCTTTACATTGAGCTCTCAGGATTTCATCCTCCTTTGGACTACCCAGACGGATTACCAAGTTTTTCGTAATACACACACACACATATATATATATATATATATATATATATATATATATATATATATATATATATATATTCACAGTTCGGCAACTGATGGATATTTAATTATCATTAAATATCGGTCATCACACTTCATTATTACCCCTCTAAGCAACTTGATGGTGTAAAAATGGGGAAAACATTGCTGAATGGATCATTTAATGATTAACCGTGTCTGGCCGTATCTACACAGAATAAAATGAAGCGACCAAAATCTCGCGTTCATTTCTCTCTATGCTCGAGTTTTGAAAAGGACATTTTCCTCCCCCTTCACTCACTCCCTCTCTCTCCCTTTGCGTCTTTTCCTTTCTTATACACACATACACGGATCAAAAGAAACTAAAATATACAATCGCACATAAAGTGACAGATTAACTGAAAGAGAGCGGGAGAGAAAGAAAGGAAGTCTGCAGAGAAAGACTAAGGGAAATAGAGAAAAAAATAGAGGTAGAAAGATAAAGAGATTTTTTTTATATGCTAGATTCTTTATAAAGTAAAGTGTACAACAAAGAAATTTTTTTTCTCGGTCAATCATAATTTTATAAAGGCGATTCCATATTTGAGGGCATTTGCTTTATCTTTTGTAATTAAAAAGACAAGAGATTTTTGAAGTAGTAAATTTGTAGCTATTAACGTCTGCCAAATGGTCAAGAAAAATGGTTCTATTATTAGTTTATTAATGTTAGGTGTTAAAAACAAAAATGACACTTATACTAGGAATCAGAAAGAGATGCATAATGAGGCAAGAGAGTGGAAAACTTGCCATTCATAGAAACACATCGAAGGCAAAAAGGAACAGAAAGAGGCAGCCGACCACCTACCTGACCAACTTGTGTGAACTGATGGAGGAACAGGGAACAGGACAGAAGGAATGATAAAAAGACAAATATTACAAACAATGAAATGAAGCAACAAGCAAACAAAAGAAAAGAAAGAGCGGAAGAAAGAAGCAAGAAGGAAAGCATGCGATCAGAAAGGAAAGAAATAATGAAAGCATAAAGGAAAATAAGCAAAGAAAGTAAGAAAGAAAAAAGCTAGAATGAAAGCAAGTAACGAAAGAAAAAAGCGAACAAAACTTACGAAAAAAGGAAGAAAAATCAAAATAAAAAAACAGGAAATAAAGCAAGTAGTAAGAGAAAAAATAAAGAAATAAAGGAAAGTAAAGGAAACCAAATAACGAAGAAAAAAAATGAATAGCAAGCAAGAAAGAAAGATAAGAAAGAAAGCAAGCAAGAACGCAAAAAAAGCAAGAAGGAAAGCAAACAATGAAAGAAGAATATAAGCAAAAAGAAAGAAAAACAAGGGAAAAAATGCAAACAAAAATGAAGAAGGAAAAGAAGAAAGAAAAAACGAAAGAAAAAAAGCAATAAGGAAGGTATGAAGGAAACCAAGGAGTAGTAGAAAGAAAGAAAAAAAGAAACAAACAATGACAGAAGCAAAAAGCATGGAGGAAAGCACGCAATGAGCGAAGGAAGAAAGCAGAACGAACGAAAGAGCTGAAGAAAAAAGTAAAAAGATCTACTTAAAATATGGGCGCTGGATGAATAAGAATGAAGTGGACAGAAAAAGTGAAATATAAATGCGTAAAGGAAAATGACAGATTCAAGACAATGTATAATGCACAGTTAAGAGAGAGAGAGAGAGATAGCAACCAAGAGAGAGAGAGAGAGAGAGAGATAGCAACCAAGAGAGAGAGAGAGAGAGAGAGATAGCAACCAAGAGAGAAGAAAGTCTATACTAACCTTTTTCGTGCAAGAATCTAGTATTTCCACATCTGTTAGATTCTCATCGTGCCTGACATTTGACCTGTACAGCAAATCTGCCCAAAAGAAATCAAAAGGCCGAAACTATCAGCAAAAGATCCAAGAACCAGTCGAATTTTTGGAAAAAAAAAACGATACAAAATCAATGACAAGGCTCGATTTTTTAGAGAAATTGTTGATTTTACGAGATCAAAAATCTGCTTTTATATCCGTACCAGATGTTTACGGCAGGTTATACGATATTAGCCACACACAGATTTTGGTTGCCTAACAAATAAATGTCTTTACTAGATAAACCACGGTATTCCCTCTAATGTTGCATAAAATCTCTGAGTAAGATAAGAAAGCTCCTATAATGAGGCATTATAGTGTGCGGATTGAACAGACTTGCGGACACATGACGTTGAAACACCACTTCACCGAAGTTAAGCAAACTGGTCAGTAGGTTTGGGTGTGCGGCTGGAGATAATGGATAATAGCTCGGAATTGTCAATCGAAGAGCAGTGTTTCAATTCCAATTGGGTTCGTTATATTCACTTACGCGCAAATACCCTTGGAAAAGGTATAAATCCACCTCTTCTCTCTCCAGTTATGGGTTAATTAGTATGTCTTGTATTACTAAACTATTCTTATCACAAAAAAAATCTTACAATCTATGAAATAATTCATGGCCTTAAATAACCAGCAATAGGCCGTAGAAAGCGAATCACTCAATCAATGAAATACTGATTAGCGATACAGGCATGTCTTTTAGATTTATTAACATTCTCTGGAATATAAGTGTATAGAAACTACAGTGACCAAAGGGTGAGGGATCAGTTTATATAGAATGTGTTGATTTGATCCCTACATTATATCCCCATTATAATTTTTTGCTTGTTTATTAAATTCCGATTAGGTATGATTCCACCTATTCTCCCCCAGCTATCGGTTAATTAGTAAAACTTGTATCACCAAATTATTATCTAAAAAATTCTTACAATAACCGTAAAAAAAAAAAACAAAAAACTTATCAAACATGAACATACGAACGAATATTTTATTAAATTACTTTGCACTATGTTTGAGCATTTTAGTGAGTGTTTTTTCCCCTTTTGCTGAATAAGTCATTTGATGTCCGGAGGTAAATTGTAATGGTACTGCGGAAATAATTTAATTTTTTTTTTTAGGAAGTTTTTCATCTGTAGAAATTCTTTATTTGAAACAATTATTCACTTTATCTTTGACTAACATAGCCAGCATCCACCTTCATAAACACTTGCATATATAACCATTAAAACGCATTAGTCGCCCTGTCGGTTAGAGCCAATAGTACGCCAAATTTTATCTCCGTACAGAGGGGTAAACACTCCCAAGAGTGGGGCCACCTGTTTACTGTACGTGTGTATACATTTTGTCTCCCGTACAAACCAAATCTATGTATAAATATTTACCTTTCAAGCAAACCTTTTTGACTCTCGTTCAAAAACCTTTTACTACATTTTTGATCGTCGTACACCCCCCCCCACAAAAATTAACAAAACAAAACAAAAATTTGCCTATCTTTTTGAATCTTGTACAAGACAAACCTTTGATTACATTTTTGATTGTCGTACAAAAAGAACATTTGCCTATCTTTTTTATTCTTGTACGAAACAAACAAACATTGGTCCACCTTATTGACTCTCGTGCAAACTAAACCACTAACTTTTTGACATTCATGCAACCCAAACATGTTTCTGTCAAACCAAAACGACTTAATTCGGCATCTAATAAAAGGATAATCCAAAAGGTTGATATGTAGTAAAACAAACGGCGCAACGGATATTTCGGTGTTCTTTAAAATGAAGAAGGTTGTCTGCCTTGAAAAATCAGCTTCGAAATGCTGGCTATTACCGACGATTAAACACTTATTTCAGTGCGAAAAGAAATCTTACACAGATTACGAAGCCGACCAAAAAGAATATACTCAAAGCTGTAATACTTTTTTTTTTTTAAATCTAGTTTTTTCACTGTTTTAAGTATTAAACAGAAAAATATGTCACCGCTTTTCATTTTGTCACGATCAAGAAAACGAAATCGGACAAAGTCAACATGTCACATTCCTTCCATCTCTTCTCGCTCTCATTTTCCTATTTCTAAAAATTTACAAGTTGCTTGTTTTTATCGAGTCATACCTATCTTTGTTCGATATGTGTTACAGGTCCATGGATGATGAGTGGGTTTTGCAGGTGACTGGTTAAGTGTGCGTATTTTGTTGCCCTCAAAGCAATCCGCTTCAAAGAATTTAATACGTCCATCGTCATATGATTTCACGACAACAACCGACATATTTCTGGAATTCACCTTCAAATTGATTAATTGAAACCCTGATCTGGGTACCAAAACCGTTGACCTTGATTTTTCTTAATATTATCTTGTACTTATAATTAAATATACCCAGCGTCTTGAATATCAAAACAAGGCTCAAGGAACATTTTTATAAGAGAAGGTATTTTCACTGCAATTTTGGAAACTGGCATCTAATTAACATGTTTTCTATTCTAAATAGAATAACATAATATTAATGACACCTATTGATATACATAGAATTATATAATTGAACGTATAACAATGAAATGCTCAATAGTCCTGACGTAATTCTTTACGAAAACTAGGAGTCGAACTCTGATAAGACCCAAGACTCATTCAAGGTAAAGGGTTACTGAATCAGATTGTTTAGGGGTGTAAAGGAAATAGGAAGAGGTACATATGGGGATATGTCGTATAGATAACGGTTGATACTAGACTTTAAAAGGTTAAGATTGTAGTGTTCGGTGAAGCACCCTCTCAGGAGTCTGTTCCACAATGTGACTGTTATGGGTGGAAGTTCCTCCTTGCCATACGGGGGGGGGAACAGGGATTAGTTGACGCCGTGGCGGAACAAAGGATTGTATGTTGTCTGAATATTGGCTATAGAAATAGTAATAGAGTAGCGAGAGTCTAGCAACGTTTCGTCAGTAAAAAAGGGTTTGCAGGTTGGGAAGTAATACGTCATCCACAAGGCCGTGTAATAGCTTTTTAACTGTCATGGCTGGACAGTGAGGACTGCGCAGTGGGCAGCTCCAAATCAGATATGGCAGTAATGCTTCATTTTTGGTCTGATCAGAAACTTTGAAAGTTCAGGTACTGAGATACGAGTCAGGTACCTTCTGGATCGGTACAAGCAACCGACTGTTCTCCAAGCACTCTTAGCGATGTTACGAATATACGAGTCCCGCTTGAGGTTTACAATCAGCTTGAGTCTCAACAGACAGTGGAGGCAAAAAGTCTTGTCGAGAGTACAACCGCTTATCAGGACTGCAAATATTTGGGGTTTGCTTGGTGGTGATGAAAAGTTACAAGTTTTGTTTTGGGGTATTGAATGATAAAAACCAGTCTTTCCCCTTGATCTGTAAGAACTAGATCAGCGGAGGAATCTAACACCAAGGTCTGGTCATCTCGATTTTAGTGATCTTTAAATATTTTCAGTTGTATAAAGTTCTCCAAATAATTTTTATTATGCATTTTTACCATTTAAAACAACACATTTAATTTTAGAATAAACAAGTAATTAATGTAATGCAGTCAATTCTTACTGGATGTCCGACATTTCTGGCCTTGTGTTAAGTTTACTGAATTGTCTCTGAATGATTCGATGGAGAAATAGCATGTTTGTTTCGTAGTTCATTAAAATGTAATGACTTCAACATTCACTCGGTGCTCCCAAAACCCAGCCTAACAAGTCCACCACAACATCCAGCCTTGTTTTGAGCTAAGCTATAAGATATATGCCATTTTATTTACTTTCTCTCATTCCGAATGTGTACGTAGCGTCGTGTACATCGATGCGGAAACATAGGATTGCTGGGCAAAGTTCAAGTCCCAGGTTAGTCTGCTGTGTTCACTTTCGTTCAAATACGCTTGGGAAAGGCTTGAATTAAATAGTAGGGTAGACTGGATTCTCTAGCTTTGGATGAAAATAAGTCTAAGAGAAGAAAAGCTCTGAATTCCGAAGCAGTAGAGAGAGCAACGGGAAACTACTCCATTATCTTTCCCGAAGAAGGTATGGCAATTCACAAACAATAAAGAAAACGGATCTGTGGAGAGCCATGGTCACCTACGTCTCGGAGGAACCATGCTATGTAAAAAAAAAACTCCCTACTTATAATTCGTTTCTCTCTCTCTCTCTCTCTCTAAACGCTAATAAATTTGCTATTTCAATGGAGTTTAGTATTTTTCAAGTACACTTTTGTACTTTTGTGTCCTTTATATGCTTATAAAGTATATCATTAAAAATGTGATAGCAACATGTTTTCATCGTTTATAATCAATTGAAGATATTTTAATAAATAATCGATATCTTTATACATAATAGCTGTATTCTCAAACTAAGGATTAAATTAATTCATGACCACTGACAATACCATTCCCCAATTTTTGATGGTTAAGAAGTTTCAAGCTATGTCAAATTTAATAAAAAAAATCAAGAGGAGTTAAACTTCCAGATTTGACTCGGTTCTTAGTTATGCACTGTTGACAAACGTATATTTAAAATTTTACCCACATGCTTCCTCTTCCATTAAGCTAGACACGTAATACCTGCAAGAAATGAATATCTGAAATTCAGGTGAGAAAGAGAGATAGAGTGAGTTAGTCTGAGAGAGAAATAAATAGAGAGAGAGAGTGAGTAAAAAAGAAATAAACAGTAGTTCCAGTAGTAAACAAAGTGCACATTAGTATATCGTAATTGATCCCTTTTTGAGCTTAAGGATGTCTTTTGACTTCAGCTTGTATCGATTTCAGGAATTACCTGCTTCATACTAATAAATATTGACCTTTTTGGATTTGTTCATGACAACTAATCGGGACAGTCAGGCATGTTAAGTTCTCCACCCATAATGATATGGGCCAGATGCGATCGTCAGTACTGAAATGAATTCAAGCGCTCAAAATCAGGATAAGATCAGCAAATCGTGATTTTTTTTTTAGAAGAAGAAAAGTGATAATGTATATAAAATAAGGAACGAAGCCATGAAGGCGATAAAAAAAAAAAAAA